ACGACAGTTTAAATTTGATTAAAACAAAGTCCATCTTATCAGCGTTTCTTGCCAGAGTTAAACTAATGAAGCAAAATATTGGACGGGGCGAATTTTCTCAGTTCCCCAATTTGTCACAGACAAGCTGCCAGGAAGACGACGTTTCAACTTACGTTCAACATTTAAATGCCTTCTATTCAGATTTTGATTCTAGGTTTGAGGATATTTTGACTATGGTAATACCACCGTGGATAATTAATCCATATGGTGACATAGAAGAAACGAATGTCATAATACAAGAGGAACTGTCTCAACTAAGTACAAACGAAGAACTTAATGTTCAGTTTAAAAACGGATATCAGCAATTCTGGCTGCAAAACAACATACCCGTTACTTATCCTATTATGGAATATAGCGAGGAAATTTTTAATTTCCTTTCCATCGTCATACCTAGTGGAAAGGGGGTTCAGCGCTGTTACCAATCTCCTAACGAAAAAAAGAAACAAACTGGACATCATTAGCCGAGGAGATTTAAGATTAACCCTTACAAAATTGACGCCAAATGTTGATAATTTATTATTAAAGCATCAGGTTCATCCTTCTCACTAAAAATATTGACTTACTGCTTATGTTATTTTATTTATTGGTCAGACACCTGTTTATTTAATGTTACGTATATTTTACATAACAGATACAAAATTTCATTTTGAGTAGTTTTAATTTAAAATCAATTAATAAATGTATATATTACCATGTGTTTTTACTTTAAGTTTTTAACACTAAACTTCACTACAATTAGAAATTTACAGGAAATCAATATCAGGTAAGTAGGGGGTCTGCCCAGCACGGAAAAACATGGCAAGGGGTCTACGACACAAAAAAGTTTGGGGAACTCTGTTTTAGACGAACGCACCAACCTGGTCATCGAGACTATTGTTAACAATTAAGAAACCTGACCACTTCTGATATTAGAGCCGAAAAAAAGGCATATCTGAATTTAGAGTTTCAGAATTGCTCAGAAAAGGAAAAGTGGGCTGAACCAAAACAACTAAACATACTTAGAAGTAAAAATAAATACATCCCTGACCATTTAAGGAATGTTAATGAACTTATTAACTACTTTGCCCAAATATCACAAAATAATACTCCAAAACAAGAATTGTTGCATTTCTATAACAACTCTTTGCTTAATGAAACCTTCTCATTTAACCTAATTGACGAAGATTTTCTTTTAAATAGTATCCTCAGTATCAAGACGAAGGCTTTTGGCGCTGATAGATTGAACGTTACCCTGACTTCCTAGTGTTGCCCTTTTACAGTTCCTTATATTACCCATATATAAATAGTTGTATTAAAAGGTCCTATTTTTCTAAAAGCTGAAAGCTGGAAAATGTTCTTCCATTGGTTAAGATTAACAATCCAACAGAATTTGGTCAACTACGTTCAATCTCGCTTTTACCGACCCTCTCTAAACTTTTGGAAAAGGTAGTCTCTATACAAGTTGCTAACTACGTTTTTGCCAACAATATCATCCCCCTAGACAGTCAGGGTTTAGAACCGGGTACAGTTGTTCCACAGCATTAACAGATCTTGTGGATGATTAATTATCAATGTCTTAATAGCCAGTTGTATTACTATAGAATTGTTTAAATTTGATTGTTTTTTTGGCTCTAGCAGGAGGGGCAAGCTGATGTAGCCCTTTATTCTCTTAAGGCTTTTTGTTTGTAAACTTTTATATACTGTTTAATGAGGGTAATAATAATAATAATTATTATTATTATTATTATTATTATTATATCCTAAAGGTGCATAAACATTGAGGAGAACCAAGGGAATAGAAGAGACATGGAAGTATAACTAACTTATTTGCTTTCTGTTTCTGTAACCACAACCAACCGCGGACAGCGTCGTCAGTGCGGTATATGTGTTAGGTCTAGTCCTGGAAACAAACGAAACAGGAGCCAAAAAAGTGAATATGGCTTTTTGAAAACCTCAAAGCATTGTGCGTAAGGTGAAAATAGTCAAGAGGAAAATAGAGAAGTGGATTGTAGGACAACAGTCTCAGGAAGAAAGAAGCATTTCTAGACATCTCCGTCAGGGACGGTAGCTCATCGTAGGACCCAGTATTAAAGATGGACGATTTCGCTTATCTTCGGATAGAGCCAACCTCCATGGTGGGACTTTAATCTGGTCATAATACGATGGCGATGACGATGACTTTGGACCCCCAGAATGATGAGGAGCTGGGACGTAGGGCTATACTCAATTTTGCTAGAAGGGCGGAGCTTGAGGCTTAGGGTATAAAACCTACTCCTTATTTGAAGGAACAATTTTACGTTCAAATATCGCCTTGACTATCACCTTGACAATACCCTTTAAGACCATTTCAAGGTCAAATCAAGAAATACTGAACAAATAGCATATATTTTCGATAGTGCTGCTGTGAGGCTTGTGGGAATTACCTAAAGGTGATCCTGGTCATGACCTTGACCATAACCTTCAATCAAGACGAAATTTCCCAAGAAATCCTCTAATTTTTATAAGGAAAATGAAAAGCGCAAAAGATTCACCTTCCCGGTTTAAATTTGACCTAAAATAGCATTTTACAGTATAAAAATAAGAGACTTCTTTTGGTAGTTTGACTTGACCTTGAATGTTATGGTCAAGCTCAAGGTCACATATGGGGGATCCCCACAAATTTCACAATTATGCTTTCGAACTATTTTGATATAGAAAACAGTTTGCCACATCTTGATTAGACCTTGAAATGACCTTGAGCGAGATAGTCAAGGTCATGACAATGATCATATTCGTACTTAAAATCTTCTCGTTCATTTTCAAAACAAAAAGTAGAAACGGGGGGGAGGTAAATTTGTTCGCTTGACCTTGAAATAACCTTGAAAATCGTGGTCGAGGTCCTCGTCAAGGTCACCTTCATTTTGCTTGGACGAGTTTTGTTTGAAACTTTTTTCAAGGATGCTTAAAGTTCGACATATTTTGGTGAGTACAGAAGTATGCGTACTGTCGAATTACTTATCCAATAAATCTCTACGTTGCCAGTACCTTTGCGTTTTTTTCTGTGATCGTTTTTATATAAGCGCCGCCTTTGTTAAACTGTGAGTTTTTCATGACATGCCACCCTGTGCTTTGTACTTGAACCGATAAAAGAAATATATATATATATATATACTAAGTGACATATAAATCCGAACACCCAGTTTAAATGGTTTTATTTTAATAAAAGTTGGTGAATGTATTTATCTTACTGTAAATAACAAGTGAAAAAATTTTCAGCCTTATCAGTTGAACATTCCGGTTTTTATACTGCTTTTTTTTAATTCACTAGCGCTCTAAAAATGAATATTTCAGCCGCAGTAAAGAATCAACGTTGGCGGATTTTGGTTTTTGACATCCTTTACGATCGGTTACGATGCCTAGAGTACGGAGACCTGTACGATTTTGTCAACTTAGTGAGTTTGATAGGGGCCGTATAGTGGGACTTCGGGAAGCTGGACTTTCTTTTCGGGCAATTGCAGTTAGAGTGCAAAGGAGTGTAGACACTGTGGTTAGGTGTTATCAGGCATGGCTTCGAGAAGGCCGTACGCAAAGAGCAAGGGGCACTGGACGCCACCGTAGAACAACAGACCATAAGATCGCCGCCTAAGATTATTGGCCTTAAGGGACCGTTTCTCCACTACCAGGTCCATTGCAAATGAATGGTTTGCAGAACACGGAAGACCTATTGGCATGCGAAGTGTTTACCGACGAATGAGAAGTTTTGGCTGGTTTTCATACCGTCCACACTGGGTCCTCCCTTTAACTCGAGAACACCGACGTAATCGCCTTGAGTGGTGCAGACAACGGTCACTCTGGGATCAGGAATGGAACAGTATTGTCTTTAGTGACGAGTCTCGATTTTGTTTAGGCATGCACGATGGTCGTGCCAGGGTTAGAAGGCGACGTGGTGAAAGGAGGAATCCACAGTTTTTTTGTTGAAAGACATGTTCATCACATTGTTGGAGTTATGGTTTGGGGTGCTATAGCTTATGTTCCAGGTCACCTTTAATCTTCATCAGAGGTAACATGAACGCGCAGCGTTATATCCACGAAGTTCTAGAACCCCATCTTTTACCCTATCTTGACACCCTGGCAGATCCAACTTTCCAACAAGATAATGCCCGACCACATGTTGCAAGAGTCACAATAGACTTCTTTCAACATAATGATGTCACATTGTTACCATGGGCACCAAGATGTCCCGACTTATCCCCAATTGAGCACGTGTGGGATATGATGGGTAGGAGATTGCTCAATTTGCAACGTCCTCCTCAGACTCTAGAAGCACTTCGAGAGGAGTTGGTGGTTGCCTGGAATGAGATACCACAGGAGGACATTGACCACTTGATCAGAAGCATGCCTAGGCGCGTTGGAGAATGCGTAGCACATCAGGGTGCATCCACACATTATTAAAGGTCAAAGAGCCTTAAAGCAGTGCAATCATTTTGAAATTTTTATCATACACTTATTATGCTTCATTAAGTACTTATATAAAATTTTATTAAAATAAAACCATTTAAACTGGGTGTTCGGATTTATATGTCACTTAGTATATCATCATTCATAAAAATTAAGTTTTATAAAAAAAGCAGACAGCTGCAGATTCTTAGACTATTAGAAAAGTATCTGTCAAAGCACAGCGTTGCCAGATGGGTCGGATATAGTTTCCCCAGAACAAGCGCAAATATTGCTCAGAATTGATAGTTTTCCAAAAAAAAACCTCCATACCACAGTCAATTAATGCAAATGGGTAGGTTTGGTATAAAGTGCGGGGAGATGTGTTCTATCCACGATACCTATGATATCTCCCAAACTTGGGGAAAAATCTACCAACTCGGCAAACCTGTCAAAGCACCACTGGTACTCCAGGCATCACTTTCGCAGCATTACCCCACTCTCTCCATCGTTTTCTTTTTTGTTTGAATCTTGACAGAAATCAAAATGTTCGCTGTCTTTTGTTCCAGTCACCATATTCCGGTACGGTTGGAGTCGTCGCCGAAAGCGCAACCGGAACGTCTCCAACACGTCTCTTGGCTGGGCAACACGACGTCGTTGTTGATCGTCTTTGACAACGACATCTACGTCAGGACGTCGCCAGTGGACGAAACTGACACGCAGCTGACGTTCACCGGAACGCCTGACGTCATTTACAACGGAGTGCCTGATTGGTTATATCAAGGTGAGTCATAAGAAGGGAAAAAAAGTTCGCACACATATAGTCAACGCCAAACAAAGTGGCGTGCACGTCATCAAGGAGGGTGTGTTGAAAAATTTACATTGTTGCCAAACTTTTTGTAAAATAATAAAATTTATTATTTACATATCTAGGTTTATAAGCAATATTAACCTCAAATGAGAACAAAAATAATAGTATAATAAAATTATAGATCTGTACTTGCATAATCATTAAGTATGACAATTATTGATCAGATGACACTATGAAACTACCATATTTAATTGATAGCTTAAAGGTACTGAATAAAAATCCAAATGGGGTCCTCCAAATTTTATGCATGGTATTTATTTTACAGAATTCATACAGAAAAATGCATTCTAAAATTAGGTAAGCTACTGGTGTAAGCTTTTTCTGTACAATAAAGTTAGTCGGAGTTTCTTTCTTCAGCGCTGTCTGAATCTGAATCTTCATCACTCTCAAAGTTGATTATTAAAGGTTCGATGTCTGGTCGATCAAAAATTCGTTCTCTTTCATACCATTTAAAAATTTCTTGCTCAGTATGTCGAACACTATTTTTCCACATGTCTGGGGTAACCGTTTGTAGAGCCTCGTTCCACATATCCAAACAGTCTTTTTCACTGTTACCATCTCTACCAATATGTCTGTTATAGTAACCTTTTGCTATGCCTCAAATTAACTCAATAGGGTTAAATATACAACGGTAAGGAGGCAGACGAAGAACTTTGTGCCCATGTTGTTCCGCCAATTCATCAATCACGTATATTTTAGGTGGTTTGTTTCTAAAAAAGCAGTTATTTTAAGAATAGGAATAAACAAAAGAAATATAAACTGTCGACCAAAATATATATAATTAAGAAGCATTATGTACCGAGCAACAATACTCAATAGCTCTGTTTTAAACATTGTGTTTAAAAATGGTATGTTTTGATTTGTCAACCAGTCTTGGATTTTTTTTTGTCCATGCATTGTTGGGCACTTTGTTCAATATCATGCTGTGATAAGGGGCGTTATCCAGTATAATCATAGATGGACTCTCCAATTTTTCTAATAACTGATGTTGAAACCATTTCAAAAAATTGTCCTGGTTCATCTCTCCATGGTAATCGCTCAATTTTGTTTTCGAAGAAAATATCGCTTCACTACCCTCAATAAACCCATTTTCATTTCCAGCATGTAATATAATGTATCTAAAATATATTAGTTTTAAATTTTATAGTGCAAATTGTGTAAAAGTACATACCTTTTACCATCTGTTTTAATAGCTTTCACGCTTTTTTGGTTTCCATTTTGCCAAGAGCGACCTATGGTCCCATTTTGAAATATCCAAGTTTCATCGAGGAAGACAAACTGGTATAAGGCCTCAACCTTGGCTTGATTATATTGCCTCAGAAATTCCACCCTTTTCAAAGCTATACTTGGTAGTTCCATGAGCCCTCGTCGCGGATTCTTCCTTAAGCCACTTAAATCCAAGATCTCTAAGCAACCGCCTTAAAGACATGGCACTACCATCAAATAATGCCCTATCCCTTAATCGAGACCATAAAGTTTGTATCGTAACTTGTTCTTCTGAAACCATGTGTAATATGACATTATAATTTAGTTAACAAATTAATGCAAATTTCTGATAAGTTATTATAATAAGATCTTACTTTTGTGATACATATTATAGATCACTTCTCGAATGGCACTTGTATCCAATGTCGCTGTGTTGGTTACACGTTTAATATAACTCCGCTTTTTCTTGGGCGATTCTAAATTTGCATCACTTTTCACACCCTCGGAAATACGACTAACTGTCCTTAAACTAAATTTTAAAGCAGCAGCAACACGCTACAAAAAATGAAATAAAATTACACTATTATTAATATACATTACATATAATTATTAGTAACCTACCTCTTGAACAGCATTTAAAGGCAACAAAGGTCCGTTGTTGTCCCTTTCTTGCTCAAAGTAGTGCATTAACGAGGCCACGAGTTCCTTACACCGACTATTTAACTGTTTGGGCATCTTTATATACCAAAATTGCCTTTATCTACTCGTAAAATGAATAATTTTGTTTTGAAACAAACAGTTGTTGATTTACAGTATGCGGGGCCAAAGGATTTATAAAGATTTGAAATGCCACAAATTGATTCAGTGTCAAAATTAATACAAATGTCAGTTCCCAGTTTAAATAAGTTTCAAGGTGACAATGTGTCAACGCTGCGAAATCGGTTTAGTGCGTTTACATGTCGATAAGTGATTGGAGCGTTTGCAAAACATTTTATTTCGCATAATGCGTCTAAATTTATCAGAAAGCAACTTATGTGATATTTTAATAGCAATGTTTATATGACTATTAACCATAATAAGAGAGTAATGACCATTTTACAATTTATATATCACATTAATATGAAACTGCAATAGAGCAATTGTTTGTGATAGAAACCTAGGCATTAGGTCGGGGAATTTTTATCGTGATGACGTGCACGCCACTTTGTTTGGCGTTGACTATATACTCCAATTAGGCAAATGCTTAGCAAATTAAAATGGCTCAATGTAAAAAGTTTTATCAAATATCTTGTAATGATATTCATTTATAAAGTAAAAAATAATATATTTCCATCAAGTCTAACTAATTTAACATCATCAAATGTCGACCATCATTTACATAATACCAGAAATAAAGATGACTTCCATTTAATGACCAAAAAGTATAACATATGCTACAAATCTGAATTCCATCAAGGGTTGATTGAATATAATAAATTATACTCGGAGATAAAAGACCAGAAAACTTTGACAAAATTTAAAGTAAAATTGAGAAATCACTTGTTAAATCTACAATTATAGGTTGCCCAGCATTTACATCATACACCATATGGCTTGAATTTACTAGTTCTAAGTTGTTTACAATTATTCTGTTTATGTAGCCAAATGTGCTAAATAAATCTTTCTACTACTACTACTACTAAATAACAAACTGACAGACAATGATGAGAGAGAAGAAAAAAGCTGATGAAACGCGAAACGTCAAGTAAAAATGTGTTACGACAGCCTGACCTCCCAAAAACTTACCAAATAATATTAAAAAAACTGATTCTGGATACTGCATCAAAATGAAACATTTCAAATTACACCAAATAGTCGAATCGTTACAATGCCTAACCGCTTCATATACTAAAACAGACTAATACTTCATGTATTACTAAATGTTTTACTTATTATACTACAAAGCTTTAAATTTCGAGTATTTCAAAAAGTATTTTGAAAATATCATTTTCAAGCAATAATAAAATAAATTTGTCTCACGTCTATAGCACATACTTTAAGAGCATCGATCTCAGTTTTTATTGACTACTTCCCAGGGCGCCGCAATTAGAGGCGATTTGGTGTAGCCGGGTCGTTCTCCTGATTTGGCCGCTTGCGATTTTTTCTATGGGGTATGGATGTTGAAACTTGCCAACATAACACATGCAATGCTCCTTAAGTATGAGTGGGAAAAAACGGCCTTTACTAATAATTTAATTATCGAAATAGAATTGTTAGTATTCTCTAATTTTTGAACAATACCATCCAATACATAATGCCCCATTTCTTGGTTTAAATAACAAAATTCACGAAATCGCGTATCTTCAATGGAAAAAGGATCATTCTCTTCTCACATATCCCAAAACATAACCGCATACCATCCCATCGTGTGGAAGACACAGTTGCCAATTGTGGGGTGTCGAACGTTGTATGCAACGTTGTGTACAACGATGTAATGTTTTTGTGTTTATGTATGGCTATAATGCTTTTAATTGTGGAATTGTTCCATCAAAGTGTTAATTTATTCTCATGTTGACGTTATCTATGTTTGTTACTGTAAACCTTAAGACAATGAATTATTATTTTTATAGTATACAAAGTCACAGTGCTGATATCGATTTTCCCTTAGATCATCAAAGGCACTTCTTCCAAACCAAGATTGTATAATAATAATAAACCGTCTTTTATTTTCAAAGAAAATTCACTATAATAAAAAAATATTATATAAATAAAAAGTTGTATATACAACATTGCATCATTGATCCCACTGCATATCAAACAAATAACGTTTTAGTTTGAATTTGAACTTGTTTATTTTTAGAAGCTTGAATTCTTGTGGCAGCTGATTATACATTCTGATAACATTATACATGTATATGAACGATCTTTGAAACATGGCGGTCTTATGCTGCGGAACGGTGTAGTTCAATTTTGATCTTATATTTTGAGGATGAGTACCTGTGCGAGGTATGAAATGTTTGATCAGACCTGGAGGATTTGGAGTGTTGACCAGTTTATGCGTAAAATTACACAGGTGAAGGAGTCTCCTATTTTTCATGTTAAGCCATTCACACTCTCTGGTTTTGTGTAGATATAATAATATATATAATATAATAATATTTATTCACTCAATGTACAAAGATAACAAACAATATGAGTAAATAAATATAAAATCAAAACAGGCCCAATAGAAGGCATCGCCTGTACATGGACCAATAATTTAAGTTGAAACTGTAGAATGCAAATGACAAAAAAGAAGAAAAATTAGCTACAGTAGATTATGTATTTAGTTGATGGTCGTATTTATGAGTTTATGAATTTCAGTCCTAGATATAGAATGTAGCCACTTTTTAAATTTCTTTTGAAACAATTTCCGAAACGTAAATCTTTTAAGTCTTTAGGTATAATTTCATAAAATTTAGGCGCTAAATAGAGATATGATCGCTGCATTATAGATTTATGCGGTTGAGGAACTACTGTGCCATGAATTTTGTACCTGGTACGAGTATAATGATTATGTTTAATTTTTTGGTCGGTGTTTACAAATTTATGGTAGTGAGTGATACTGTGTAAGAAATAAAGCTGTCTTATATCATACATTCGAACATCTGCGTATAATTTTTCAGTGGGATAAAGTTTCGGTTTTTTAAATATCATTTTTAGAATACTTTTTGGAAAAACATCTAAAT